ATTATTTATCAAGGGTTACTTATTATAGATAAGCGATCAGACTTTTCTATAACTCGTAATTTCAATATTTGTTTACAGTCATTTGGGGACCGTTTAACATCCCTATTTATTACTTTGCGTCTTTGCCCTTTGGTTCAAATCATTTATAAATATAATTTTTTTATGCGTAGTTAAAAAAAATCTATTCAATCTAATAAGCACCCTCAAGATATTTTGTTCAAATGAACAATCTTAAATTCCTTCCCATCTGTTACTAAAAAAAAAAACAAAATAGTAGTTTGGAAAGATTTAATAAAAATAAAAAAATTTTGTACGAATGTACGAAAATTGTACTGAGTACGTACGAGTACTGTACTTGTACGAAGATTTGGCTCGTACACCATTTGGACAACCCTGCCTATAACCACTTCTAATACCTCTAGTTCTAATAAATACTTGCACCCGCCATTTTTAAAGGTTATAACAAAATTTTTGTCAACCCGAACACGGGTAATTTATACACGCTACTACGTCAATGTAAAAATGTAAACACACTTCTAAAGAAAAATGATTAATATCCGTTATATGCGTATATGCTAACAACATTATAGTTTTATTTAACATGGCTAATACAAACGTTTATAATATTTTATAACATAGTTTTAATTAATTTAGTTGCAACCCTAACAAGATACGGAACCTTTCTGTCACTTTGCTGAAAGGTCTCTTTTGTTACTTCTTCGGTATATTCAGATAAGTGTTCCAACTCCTATGAATATATTAAATTTCTAGCAGGTTAATCTTGTCAAAAAAAATAACAACCAGTTAATGAAATTAATACTTCACCTCATGTATTTTTTTCCTCAATTGGAAATTATTTGTTATCAATATTGCCTGTGCTTCAAGATCCCTTTCAGTTGATCGATATCCATAATTAGAAGATCCAATTATAGTCAAGCTAGGCCACGATTCTCCATGAATATAACACCATAAACCTGAATTCCAAATATTCAAAACATTGGTGTAATAAATAAAAACTAAAGAGAATGTAATACAAGGTAGCTAGCTACTCACCCTTGGCATGAAAAGTCCATCCTGGTCTTTTATATTCTTGAATTTTAATTAGATGTTCTTTTCTGTGACGACATATATCCGAATAGAATTGCCTTTCTATCAACGTATAAGCTTGTGGAAGATACTTTGAGATTCCTTTAGAGGAAAAAAATCCATTTGCCTCAAAAGTAATAAACAAGTTAATATCTTCTGTTGTGATATTACGGTTGAATTAAAAATAAAAGTTCAATGCAAAATACCTCTGGTGAAGCAGACAATAACTGAAATTTGGCCATAGCATTTAAAATTTTCTCTTTATATTTTTGGGTAAAATTAAAATATCCAGAGGTAAAAAACACTTTCCAAAACATATCTTCACTAACATGATTCTTGTTTCCTTGCCTTGAAATTGCATCCAAAACGGTTAATGTTGCAAGTTCATCTTGTCTAATATATAAAGGACTCATCTGTATAACTGGAAAGATAACTGTATCAAACTTTTGTAAAGAATTGGTATTAGACAAATCATTTATTTGTCCGATGCAATGACTCATCCATTTCTTGATAAAATTTTTCATGATGAGAGAAGAACTTTTCCTAAATAAAGTGCTTTGCGTTACAGGATCTGGTTGTTTTGTTAAAACTAACTTATAGGAATCTTCATCCATGAGTAGAGTTGGTTTCAAAGTGTATGAAAAAGATGCAATTGTCTCTACAAGATCCGCAAAATAGTTTGATATAGATGGTGTTCTTTCAAATAATATGTATCTATCCTGCCTATTGATAAAATAATCATGATTCAAATTGGCACTACAAATATTCAGATTTAATTAGATAAATATATAAATTTATTTTTAAATGGGTTGTGACATTTAGCTTACCCACTTAACATGAGATTATTATCAAATATAAAAGATTTAATATGCATCAATCCAATTCCTTCATTAAATCTAGGTGGAAGGAATTTTTTCAAAAATCCTGTCAAATCGGGAGTGTGATATAAAGATACTGTCACTTGATCCGGAAACTCTTTCACAAGTGGTAAGAGAAGACATGCAGGACTTTTATCTAAAGATGTTTGACCAATACGCGTAGCTCGCATACAATCAAGTAAGATATGAACTTTCAATTGCTTGGATTGCTTTACAGCTATTTTTAATGTCTCAACCTAACAAAAAATACGTGTCATTAATCAAGAAAAAGATAACCTTGGTGATAATAAATAAGAAACAATAATCAACTTATTTAGAGCTCATAACAGATCGGGTGATCCGTCGAAAAATTAAGTCAATAGACACGTCGCTCCAATTTTTTTTTTCTTATGAAACATTTATCAAAACTTTGACTAATATAATAAAGTTTAAGAACGTAATTTTTGATCGAAAGTTACTATTAATCCAAAATTATAAAATGTTACATCTCAACGCAAATTCATGAAGCATTAACCAAATATTCGCCTCGATTAGACAAATCTAATGAGATAAAGCACATAAATTCTCGATCAGAGGTTGCTGATCGTTTTATTAATCTGATCTATCTGACGACCCGACCCGTTGGAGCTCTAAAATTACATTATTACCAATTCCTTTTCACTATGGCCAATGTACAACGCCGCCAACACGATTCGAACTTTAGCAGCACGAATTTGAGCCTAAAACGAGAACTAATTAATTGGTAAAAATTATCTGTTAAATAAATAATGCATAAATTTTTACCTTAAGCTCTTCGTAAAACTCATGTGGCTCTTGAAGAGGTCTGATTTGTTCTCCGTTGAGCAAAAAATATGGAGATATCTTTAACAAATCTTTGAAACTTTTAAAAGGAGGTTGATCTATAAATTCGTTAATAAACGAATTAGAGCTAAATGAATTTAAATAATATGAGAACGTCATTTGGCGTTTCGACTTATATTGATTACGAGAAACACTTGAAATAAAACGAATATTTTTTCCATGATTTATTTCTAAAATTCGTTCATTCGAATAAATTTTAAATAATGATGGTTGATTATTTCTTATTAAAAAATATAGGTTAGAAATTTTTGGAAATTTAAAAACAATTTGTTTACTACAGGTGGATATTGCAGAAACTACCATTTCCAGAGAAAAGTTTATTTCGTCAGAAACTAAAATAGTATTTACTTTGATTATCACAATGTTTAAGATTTTGGAACACAAAGTGATGTAAGATGAATTACGCAATTGTTCGATCGGCGAATTGCATTTGTAAATTTGGATTTAATAGTCATTTTCCTAGATTCAATCCTCAATTATTCAAAAATTGAATTCCTCTCTTTATAAAATTAAAATGACAGAACAGATAGAAAAAGAAATAGGTAACTTTAAATCCTTTCCCCATAAATACAAATATTAATTGATTATTATTAAAATTTTTTAATATAATTTATTTAGAATTGCTTGAAAAGGTGGAACTTCGAATTGCACTTGCTGAAACTGATCAAAAATTAGAGAAAATTCTTGATACGTTCTTAAGTCCCATTCTATTAAAGTTGGAAAGTCCACATGAAGTAATGAGAACAAAGGTCTGAAACAAAAATTAAAAAACTTTTATATATTGAATTAAATATTAAAATATTAAAATTTTCCCCATAATTAGGTGATGAGCATTTTAGCTCATATCAATAAGCGAATTCGACCTAAAACAAATATCAAACTTCCATTAATCCCTCTTTTGGACCTTGTTTGTACTATAAAAGTTACTAAATCGATATTTGTTAAGAATTTTGGTATTATGTATCTTGAGATGGCCTATAGTAGATTAACGGACGAGGTAATAATTTATTCGAGGAGGTAATATCAAAATTCTCGCTCCTCTTTCATCATAATATATAGGATATTTTTTATTATACAAAATTAAACCTTTAAATTTCATAGGAACAAATCGCTAACTTACCAAGTTTGGTTAAAGGCATTGATTCAAAGCCTCTTAGTCAAAAGCAGACGTTAATGCATATTATACTTTTGGTAATTAAACGATTTTGTTACAAACATTTTTTTTAAAAAATAATAAATAGATATTTATTTATAAATTTCGATTATTTTGAAAAGGCCTTAAAGAATTATAAACCAAAGCATGCAGATTCACCAGCTGAGCTTGATCCATTTGATTTCAAAACACATCCTGGTGATGCTAACTTTTTGCTAGAATCATTCTTAGATGTTATCTTATATAGGCAAATAAATGATAAACCTATTATGGAGTTAGGTGATCTTTTCATGTTTGTACCACAAAGATTTTTATATTTGTTTATATTAATGTATGAACTATCATTATAGACAGCAAGATCCTCAACTTGTTCAATTATCATCGGTACCTCCGGGCCTAAGTATTAATGCTGTTAAATTTGTAACGAATGATGGAAAGGCACAATGGGTTTTAAAAAATTCAGAGTTAATATTAATTAAGGTTCCTATACTTTTACTGCAATACAGAATATTATTATTATCGTTTTTTAAAAAAATAACGGCTTCTGATATCAATTTCTTCAATCTAGACGGGTGTTCTTAAATTTATTAATTCTTCCGTAATATTACCAGATTCATTGCATGAAATTATACATTTTAAGAAATTCTTAGTTTTGCTTTCTGCATCATGTGATTCTGCACATGAAGTTGTGAGAGGTGGAGAAGATGGTCTTAAAAGGAATAAAAAACCAGATTTAGAAAATAAAATTGTATTATAAAGATTTTTTTTTTTTTTTTAATATTAGAATTGCAAATAAATTTTGTTTGATCAAATTGTAGGTCGTAGATGGATTATATTCTTTATACCAGGGTAGCCAAACCGGAACCGTAAACAATCTAGGTATTTTAATCACCATTATTATGAAAATTTTGTTTGTTGATGAAAGTTCTAATTATTTTATAATCTTAAATTAGATCAACAAATACGACGTCAGCCAGCTTCACCATCTCTTAAGTATAAAATCATGAGCTACCTTTGTAAATCAAAGCTTGCAACAAACATATTTCCTGCTTTAATTCAAGTTTCTTTCGATTGTCTTTATGGTAAGAAATGTTAAAAATTTGTATGATTTTAATATATAACTAATATATATTTTTTAATAATTCTCAAGGTCCTTCAACAAACGCAAAATTGCAAAATCAAGGAATGGGTTTTATTCAATGGGTAGCAAGGATGGTGTGTTGGAGAAATTTTTTACATTATATTTGGTTAAACAAAAAAAAAGTTAAATTAAAATTTAACTATTATGATTTAGGCCGATACCTCAATATTGAAACCTGTTGCTCCAGTTTTATTATCTGGACTTTTAAAATTAATTAACGAACCTGGAGGTTCCGGTATGATATAAACTATGGATTTGAAGAATTAAACAAATTTCTGTAATTCTTATTTATATTTATATTATTAGAAGGAGGGAATCTAAGAGCGGGAAAAGAAGATTTGAGAGGATTTGCTTATGTGGCTGTTAGTTTGTTGGCAAGGAGAGGTATTAAAATTTATGAAATGCTTACACGTTCAAATTCGCAAGATACTAATAAGTTTTTAATAATAACAGTTCCAGAGATTTTCCGTAAAGATTTATCTATAATTGCAAATTTCTTTATGGCTATCACAGTGGAAACCAAAAATGTTAAAATATCTGTTCAAGAAGCTTTATCTAATATGACAGAAGCATATCAAAATGCTGAAACTTGGGCAAATGAAGATGAAATCAGGACAATTGAAAACATCTTAGAAGAGAATATAGACAAAGTTCGTTATAACAGTAAAATTATTTACTATTCTCTTGATTCTAGTTAACTAAATCGAAATTTTTTTTTCTAATTCACATAAGTCTGAACACCAAGCGCGTTATTGTGCCGTTAAATATGCAACTTCGTTATTTCCATTTTCTCATATCCTGTCTCGGTATATTTGTCTTCTTGCTTCAGCTGACGAAAAGTTAGAAGTAAAAGAGATGGCATCTCGTGGTTTAGCTTTTCCTAACTCAAAACCTCACAACCTTGATCAATCAAATATAGAGATTAAAATCCCTCCTTTCTTGGAATTTGTAAATTTTATTAATAATAAGTCATCTCAGAGAACAAAGAAATTAATCAATATTTTACAGTCTAGTCAATCTACTGGAAAAAAGTATGTTTTGGGATATCGCACAGAGGTTTATATTAACATCTTACGATTTCTTAGACATTTAATGATCGTAAATGCGGACCCGAAAGCGTTAATTGATGAATTTGCTAATGAGTTCGATGATGAACCTACGTTATTCGATTCAGATACGCGCACGCGGGTTAAAAGTTGGTTAAAAGAACAATGGATAGCTGATCATGAAACATCAGATCAAATGGAATTAGAAGAGTATAAGCATAGCGGAACACTTAATGTATATCTTGGATTAATCGAGAATGGTTTATCGAACGAAGGTCAAATAGGTAGGACATACGTATATGTATCTCGATTATCATTTACAGATTTAATATTAATTTTAGATATATATCAGATCCATTATTGCAATCTACTGCATCATCATGTCTTTTGGAGCTTATATCTCTTGGTCCATCATCTCTTTCCCGGTCCTATGAAAGTCGAGTTAGCTGGCTAAAGGTTAATAGATAAAACAAGTTTATTTCGTAATTTCATTCATTAACACCTATTTACTTTTATAGGATTTCTTGAAAGTAATAAAACTTGAAGTACGTAATGCTATGGCACATATTCTTGGTATAGTTAGTACAAGTGAAATGGATAGTCCGGAGAGATGTGCAGCAATTCATGATTTGATAAAAGAACTCTTTACAATCGCAAGAGACCAATCTCGACAGGTTGGAGTTTATTTTAATGCTTCAACTAAAAAATTTAAAAAAAAATCTCTAATAATTTATCATATAGATATCCGTTGAATATCATCACGGAAGTATACTCTCTTTGGGGTATATAATTGGTCGATTAACTTACCGATATCCTAAAGCATATAAATCTATGATACCATCAAATCTTTTATCAGAGGCAATTGAATTAATTTCTAAAGATTTAGATTCATCAACAAATTTATATATTATCGGCGCTTCTAAAGCTTTAGGTGAAGCGGGTAGATATACTTCACTACAAGACTCGATAAACGTTAACAATAAAGGAAAAAGAAAGATGGATGATGCATCACCTAGTCCAGATATAGTGGAAAAATTAATTAATGTTGTTAAAACCACTAAAGATGTTAAGGTATGCATGTTAATTTGTTACAAAAAAAAAATTTTTTTTACTTTTTTTAATTTCTTGTATTATCTCTGTTATATTTTAGGTCAAAGAGACATCCATTATCACGCTTGGACATATCGCACTTGGAGAACCTAATTATGCTGAAAAGATTTTATCATTATTCTATGACTTGGCAACCATAATTAATAAACAAGTGGAGGTTCATTTCACTATTGGTGAATCGATCACTTGTATTGCCGCAGGGTGGGAAAGTAATTCAATGGGCCAATATTTGGACATTGCCGATGCTTCACCTTCACTGAATACAATCGATAATTCGATAATGGAAGGAATCTTGGTCAAGTTATTTAACGAATTGTTGCCTTCAAACAAGACATCAGTGAAGAAAGCTGTCTGTGTTTGGATGTTATGTATAGTAAAATTCTGTTCTAAACATGAAGTTGTCAAGGTAACATGTTAATCATTAATTTATAGAAAGGTGTCTAAATTCAAAATTTTAATATATATATATTTTTATTTTAGGCTGCTTTACCTAGAATACATGGAGCATTTTCGCTTTTATTAGCAGATCGCGATGGTATTTCATGTTTATTTAATGTTTAAGATCATCATTTTGCATATAACAAAATAACATTAAATATGAACCTTGCTTTTATTAAAAAGAATTTACTCAGGAAGTTGCTTCCAAGGGTATTGGTTTGGTCTATGAATTAGGAGATCAAAAGATTAGAGAACAGCTTGTTGATTCACTTGTTGGAATGTTTAGTGAGGGAAAACGTCCGAAAGAAACAATAGATCAGGATACTCAGTTGTTTGATTCAAACACACTCGGTCAAACTCCTGACGGATCAGCTATTTCAACTTATCAGTCTATTCTTTCTTTAGCATCTGATATGAATCAACCAGAGTTGGTTTATAAGTTTATGCAATTAGCTAGCCATAATGCTATGTGGCAATCACGCAAAGGAGCAGCGTTTGGATTTTCATCTATCATTGCTCAAGCAGAAAAGGAATTAGAACCGTATTTGAAAGATCTGATACCTAGATTATATAGATTTCAATATGATCCAAATCCAAGAGTCAATGAAGCTATGACAAGTATTTGGAAATCTTTGGTGAAAGATCCAAAAAATGTTATTGATGAGTATTTTGATATAATTGTTAAAGATTTACTCAAAGGACTTGGTGATAGGTTATGGAGGACCAGAGAATCTAGGTATGTCTGTCTAACTATTTCATTATGAAATGTCATTTGGTATGTTTAGATCATTTTCTTATTATAATGTTATTTTTGCAGTGCTAATGCTTTAACAGATTTGTTACAAGGAAGGCAGATTCAACAACTTGAACCATATTTGCAGGATCTATGGAATATGAGTTTTAGAGCCTTGGATGATGTCAAGGTTTATTTTTATTTTTTATTTTTATCATTTAATTACATCATTTATTTCATTTAAATTTATATCAAAATTTTTTCTTTAACGTTTCAATATTAATATTATAGGAAAGCGTTAGAATAGCAGCCTTTAAAACCTGTCGTTCGTTAACAAAAGTTACAGTGAAATATTGTGATCCTAGTAATGTATCCATTGAAGATGGACAAAAAGCAATGAACATTATAATGCCTTTCTTATTATCAAAAGGATTGGTATCAGATGCCGAGGATGTTCGCAAGTTTTCGTTGACAACAGTCCTCAAAATCTGTAAAACTGGTAAAGAATTACTAAAGCCACATATTGCAGAAATTGTTGACAGGTTATTGGAAGGTTTATCTAGCATGGAACCTCAGGTCATGAGTATGTAACCTTTTCTTCTTTTTTATAAAAAAAAAAAATTAATAAATAAATAGATCACAATTAACGAACTGAATTTTATAGATTATCTTAGTTTTCATGTTGATAAATATGATGTCACACAGGAGCAGGTCTGTATTCGGTATGTGTAAAATGCCTTCCTTGACAGTAAACTAATTATATATTTTATATTCGACCTTTATAGCTCGAAAACTCTCGCTTATCAGCTGCTAAAAATTCTCCAATGATGGAAGGAATTGAATCATGTATTGATTATATCGATGAAAAAGTCATAATAGATTTAACACCTAAATTAATTAGCCTTATACGTAAGGGAGTTGGTTTACCAACAAAGGTATAAGTAATTAATTTTTAATCAAATGCTTTAGATTTAATAATTATTTATTTAAAAAAATTTGTTAAAATGATATAGGCTGGTTGCGCGAGATTTGTAGTATCAATGTGTCTTAAAAAAGCCGAAATAGTAAAACCTCATGCCAATACCTATTTGAAGGCTCTAAGTGGTGCTATCCTTGATGTCTCTCCCGCAGTTCGCAAGTCATATGCTGTTGCTGTCGGATATGTTGCACATTTGGCATCTGATAATACTTTAATCAAGTTTATCGGACATTTGAAAAAGGTTTATTGTGAAAATAGCGGTGCGTGTGAATATTCATGAATTATTATTATTACAAGTAAAATTTTAATTTTAATATTTTAATATTTTCATAGAGGATGAAATCAGATCTATTACAGGAATTACAATGCATGAAATATCAAAGCATGCATCTGATGAAATGAAAAGAATTTATGTGGAAGTTTTACCACTTACTTATTATGGCAAACATGATTCTGATTCAAGCATTAAAAATGTGTGGAATGAAATATGGGAAGATAATGCTTCCGGTAAGAATATTTATTAGTAATATTTGTTGTTAAAAAATATTGTTTATGCTCTAATTCTATTTTATAATTTTAATTATAGGATCTACGGGAACAATTAAATTATACTTAAATGAAATAATTGTTCTATTGTCAACATTGTTGGAGTCACCTTCGTGGCCTACAAAAAGACAAGCTGCATTAACAATGGCAGATGTTGCTAAATCAATAGGTTTTCATTTACCTCATATTATATACTTGTAAATTGCTCATCTTTTTTTTTTTTAAAAAAAAAAAAGAATACTAACCTTTTCTATTTTTTAGAACAAAGCTTGATACCACATATGGAACAAGTTCTTCCATTGTTGTTAGATGGATTATCAGGAAGAACTTGGGCAGGAAAAGAAGCTCTTGTCGAAGCATTGGCAGCAGCTTCTGTTTCTTGTCGAGAATATTTTGAAAGTGATGAAAATCGTGCTCAGTTGGATACTCTATCTAAAGTATTTAAATCTTGACTCGTCATTACTTTTTTGATTAAATTATTAACGATTTGCTAATTTCTTTTATCATGCTATATGTTTAATCAATGTTTTGCAACCTTAGGTGCTTATACGTGAAAGTAAAAAATCAAATAAACAATACCAACGTAATTGTATTGAAAATCTTGGGAAATTTGCCGATGCTTATAGTGATACGTTAGAACTTTATCCCGATGTCAAAAATTTTTTATTTGAATTGGCAACAGCTGAACCAGATCCTGACGAAATGGAAGTAGATGATGCAAATGACCGTCCATTATTTTTATTAGTCAAAGCAAGTGCAGTGAAGTGTCTTGGATTAGTTTGGTCAAAGAAAAAAGAAATTCAAAGTAAGAAAATTTATAATTTTCATAAATCAAAAATCCTAATGGTTTATAATTTATATTTATTTCATAATTCTTCATAGAACAACATTTTAAAGAACTTGGTGCATTATTGGCAAGTTCTTTGAAATCCGGTAAAAATGTATGGAATGTACGTTTATGTGTATTAGAATCTCTTGAAAAATTTATCTACAAGTTGGACTTTAGTGAACCACAAGTTCAAGTACTTGACGATGAAACTTTGATTAGTATATTTGAAGGATTGAAAGAAGGATTATTGGATACAAAATACGTGGCAATCCGTACTGCAAGTTTATCCAGTTTGAAGAAAGTTGTTGATAAAGTTAAAGGTAATTTTAAATATTCTCTTAATAATGCCTTTCTTAAATGTTTTAATGCAATTAACCGGTTCTTAATTATGTCATATATAGACACTTCATTACTATCTTCATCGGTTAAAACCAAACTGTTGGAAATTATTGATGTGGCAGAAAAAGATCCTTTAGCTAGTATTTCCGAACCTGCTAAAGAATTACGCAAATCTATTCTTTTAATTAAATAAATGTCACGTTATAGTTATTATAGTTTATAAATTCATTTAAATTATATATAATTGAATTCTTTTCTCAGGAAATATTTCCTTGGCGTTATTTGCAATTGTTTTTGTTTGGGAATATTTTACTTTTTTCGCGTTCCTCTATGATCTTGCCTACTAATGTTACTTACTCTACCTCTATTTAAATTTGCTCTTCCACGAAAAATTTTCGAATCTTTTCTTCCAGGTACATTACGAATTTCAGCACTTAACTTCCACCCATATGAATATCCTTTGCCACCTGACGGCCAACCGGGACACTTTCCACCTTGATGTTTTTTAACTAACCCTGTTTAAATAAATCATCCAAATAAATATATTGTACTTTCATTAGTTTAAGTATCGATCAAGTAGTACCTTTCTTCTCGACATCTCTTCGCCTTTTGCTTTTCCTTCGCTTTGATCTAAATTTTTGTTCAGTCTCTTTAAAAGGAACATGTAATACTTTATGTGGCATTATATGACGTTCCCAAGGAATCTTCGATTCTTGAATAATTTGTTCAAATGTTATTGTCACTGAATTTATCTTTTCAATACGTTCCGGATCATCACTTATTTAAAAAAAGAAATTTATGTATTTGTTTAATCTTTTTAATCTTTAGGAAATTGAGAGCGACATAAGGTTTACCTTAATTCAACAGTTTCAAATTTTTTCCTACGCATCTGTTCGACTAATTCATCGTAATCTTTTATATCCTTTGATTCGAGGGAAATCTTCTTAGGAGGATCATGAGCGAATAAACGAAATACTAATTGGTGATGAATAACGCTTTATCGTAAAAATTTCTTTTCATTTCTTTTATTATAAAAAAAATGATTCTGGATATATTGATATCATACATTGGTCATTATCACCATTTTCTAATTCACGAGTATCCTCATCATTCGTAACTTTAGGAAATGAATGGGTCATTAAAATAATAATAATAAATTGGATAACAAGGTTCTTTGATTGTCTATAATCCTACCATTCATTTGTACTATTTCAACTTCTCTATTCAACCTTTCAAATAATCTCATCTTTATGTCCTCTTTATCATCATCAAAATCATCATCTTGATCATTAAATAAAAACTTTCTTGAAACAATTGCTGTATCAGGAGATAGTATATCATACATGCTGCTTGACCTTTACAGAAAATGTTGAATTAGCATGCATCATCCTTGAGAATTTTAACTAAGTATTTTAAAAATAAATAAATCTGAATCACCCTTTATTATGTTTATTGTAATTCATTTTTCTACAAAAAAAAGAAAAAAAATTGTAAAATATAAAAATCCGCGCCCCAAAATTTGAGGGGTATTTTTCAATAAATAGTTACTGCGGAAATAATTTAAACGCGACTTTTTTTTTAAAGGAATTATTTATCAACAATGAGTATCCTACAATAAATAATTTACCAAAAAAACCTTGTTATCTATTTGGTTCTGATTCGGAGAATATTATGAAGCTTTGCAATAGAAAGGAAACTGCCGTGAAAAAAATAAAAGATGAGTCAATGATAAATCTGAACATTTGTTGGCCCAAAATCATTTTTTGCATAGAAAAAATAAATTGATTTTCCCGGAAGTTCCGCTTTATTTGCCTACCGTTATTACTTTTATTTTTTACAAGATCAATATCCTTGAACGGAATAGAACTTCGCTCAACCGAAATTCTGAAATTTCGTTTTAAAGATAGGTTTAATGAAACCTTTTTTAATAATGGAATTTCAGAAAGGAAAATGAAAATTTTGGTGCTTTTTTGCAACGATAACATCCTAAAGATAAGTGTTGAAGTAATTCATAAAAGAAAAAATCGAAGGATTGAAGTTTATTTGATAACATGTATGGCGCAGTCAATTTTAAACGTTTCACAAAATGCTACGCCGTCGACATTCCTTCAATGTCGCGACATTAGTATTCTATTGCTCTATACAATGGCTTATCATTGTAAGCACAACCTCCTGTTTTTTTTTATAATATTACTAAATTAATATTTTATTTAACATTCTCATTCTTTGATTCACTGAAAAAACTTTTTTGTTCCAGTAGATATTAGAATGCCATTCACACAATCATTTGCATCAAAGATGCTTAATTGTAAATATTTACAAAGTATCATTCATGGCTTCAAACCCTTATAAGGAATAACCCAAGTGATAAATCGGTAAAATTCAATCATAAATAAACTCCAAACCAAGACGAAAGACGAGCTCATTTCTCTTTAGGAATCTTTGTCCCTCCATTCTGACTTTGTATTACAAAGAGATTTTACTAACACATCATTTGTTCCCTTGTAAGGGAGTAAGATGTCATTACTTTGAAGAAACCGAATTTTATAAGTTGGCGCAATGACTTTTGTTTTGGTACGTCTTTTTGTTACTTCGTAAATTTGATTAACTTTTATCAAAGCACATGGTTCGTAAAGCGCTGACAATCAAAAATTATTTCTTAAAGTGTCGCCTTCGGTTACCTTGCATGTGTTCGCATATGAAAGGTTTTCCTTTGTATTGATTGATTCAATGAATTTCTGATTCAATGATTTCCAAAGTTATCAGTACACTAATGGGATGAACAAATAATTCATTATATGTGAGATTACACAAAGAAATGACCTGACAAAAAAATGGAGGGATCGTCAAGATGACTTTCATTAATTAATTTATACATATTTGGAGCAACCATATCAGATAGATGGTTAACTCATCAGTTGAGAAGTTCTTGGTGTCTAGAATTCAAACCTTCTGTTCTAAATCAAGAAGTGCTTGCATTTTGCAACAATGAAAACTTATTTAATACCTAATTTGCAACAAATAGTGTGAAAATCGGTGTATTTTATAGGTTTACTAGAAAAATCGATCCCAAAGTATGCAAATTTATCTTTTAAAAAAAAAGGCTACGGCGTACTGCCAAGACATCGGTAAAGTTTGCAAAAAAAAAAAATAATAATAATAATAATACACTGAAAGTAATGATCCAAACATTATTAGAATAAATTCCATTTTTTTAGTAAAAAAATCGTATTTTCTTATCTCTAATTTTTTTTTAAATTTTATTGTAAACCTTTTATTATTATTATCATTATTATTTTTTTTTTAATTTTATTGTAAACCTTTTATTATTATTATCATTATTATTTTTTTTTTTAAAAATAAAAAATAATTCCGTCTATAATAAAAATTCTCAAGGATAATGTCGAAAAAAAAAATAGTTATAGAAAAAACCATATCCGAATTCCTTGACGAAAAACTTCTCTCCCTCAAAATTAAAATATATCGGGATGATGAATTTGAAAATGTTAGTTCCATTGATTCGAAAAGGTTCGGGAAGGCTAAAAGCGCAGTTATTAAAGAAGGGGGATTGTCTGTAATCTTTAAACGGATTGACATCGAAAATATTGATATTCGCGAATACGTTCAAGAGGTAAGTTTATTTAACAAATATGTTTCTTTTTTATGTTACCAAGAGCTCAGAAAATCAAAATGAACTTTATTCCACAATGCTAATACATGTTTCATCGTTATCCAAGATCAAATTAATACGGGATGCTGGTTCGAATAAATCCGTATTAGAATTTGTTGGAGTTCTTAAAGGTGACATGTAATCGAATTTATGCGTTTAATTTTCCTATATATAGGTTATATTAAATCGTAAAAAAAAAAAAATATAATTAACGCCAAATTAAAATATAATAGATAGATTTGATGATGATTACTATTTCGTATTTGAATCTGTCGATTGTAGGACTCTTGGTAAATATTTGCAATTCAATGAATTGGATTGGAAGCAAAAGGTTAAGATTGCTTATGAAATTGCGAATGCTTTAAAATTCCTACACGAAAAGAACATTTATCATAAAAATTTGGTAAATTTTAGCATATCATATAATTTCCTTTTTCTTTCTCATTTTATAAATAATATTTTATTGATTTGTTTTCATTTAATAGACGACGGGTAATATATTATATGATAATGAAACCGAAAACATTAAATTGATCAATTACAGTTTATTTAAACGGGAAAGGGCTCCTAAAAAAAGCAGCTTTGTAAAGAAATTACGATTTTGGAAACGTGATAAAGATGAACCAAATCAGTATCCCAAAGAGTATGATATTTATTGTTTAGGAAGCATTTTATTTCAACTTACGCAAAACGTCAAAAATAATTATGTTGGGGATTGGGAAAAATTTTTGAAATATTATCCACCGGAAAATGTACAGGATAAGTACAAGCAAATCTGCAAAGGTGTGGTTCATTTTTTTGACGATGATTTTTGGTTGAATCACGTGATACTTACGATACGTTCTTACCTTTTTTTTTTTTACATAGCTTGTTGCCGTAAAGAGTTGAATGCTCGACCCAACATACAATATGTTGTTAATGATTTATATAATGCATTACAAAGTGTAAATAACGTACCAAGTTCAAAACAAAGTACACATAGCGAACAAAGTACCGAAAAGGAAATTCATCGTTCCAATACAACAAGCGTGAAGAGAAATAGACCTATACCAACTTCTTCGAAAAGACACACCGTCAACGTTCCATTTAAAGATAATAACACATCCACTACGTTAAACGATGAAAATACTTTATCACAATCATCTACATTTGTTTACCAATCACCATCACGCTCAAAAAAATCCGATGTCATTCCTCAACAAATTTCATACCTTTCACCCTATGAGCCTGATATTTTCATTCCTCAATCAACATCTTATACTTATACTTCACCCCATAATCCGGTTAAACCGCCTCCTACATATCCAAAAACCTCACCAATTATGACCTCTTCTTTAATAACTCAAGATTTTATTACTGAAATGTATGATGAATTTCATAATAAAGTTGCCAATTGCAAGATGGAACTTTCACAACTAAATGACGATTGTGTATTAGATTATTTAAACAAAGCAGGTCAAAGTGAAAATAAAGTGTTTGAATATATTAAGGCAAAACAATCCTTTACGATCAACTTGGTACTATTAGCATTATTTCATCAACTCGGCATTGGAACTCCTGTAAATGCACGAAAAGCTTTTGAATTGTATAAGGAAGCGTCAACAAATAATACATTTGCGGCTTATGTAGTAGGGGAATGTTTTCTTTATGGTCAAGGAATCTCAAAAAACGTGGCGGAAGCTTATAAATTTTATAAAAAATCTGCCGAAGGTGGATTTGCACCAGCTTATAAGAAGGTAGGATTATGTTATGATATGGGAACGGGTGTAGCAGTTGATAAAGAAAAAGCTTTTTATTGGATTGAAAAATCCGCTGAGGCGGATGATAATTATGGTCAATATACTTTAGGAAGGTTTTATGAGATTGGGAATGGATGTGAAAAGGATGAAAGTATGGGATTCGCATGGTATGTAAAAGCAGCAGATCAAGGAATAACGGCTGCATTACATAAAGTGGGAATCTGCTATAAATATGGAATAGGTACTTCGATAAATACGTATAAAGCAGTTGAACACTTTAAAAGAGCAGCCATGGAAGGATGTCAACACAGTCAAGTTCTTTTAGGACAAGCGTATGAATTGGGTTCAGATATCGAAAAGAATGATCGAGAAGCCTTAAAATGGTTTCGAATGGCCTCCGATCAAAATTACGATTTGGGACACTATCACCTTGGAAGATGTTATGACTTTGGTATTGGAGCTGGTATAGATTGGCACAAAGCATTAGAATTTTATCAAAAAGCTTCTGTTAATGGAAATATTTTGGCCATTTCAGCTGCTAAAGATATTCAGTCCAAAATGCAACGAACCGAATTATTTTATTGGTAAAAGAAGTTTTTTTGGAGCTACTCTAATTTACGCTCCACATAAAATTTCCAAACCGAAATCCATTTGTTTATGTTGTTCATGGCATGGTTTGAAATATTAAGGTCAATTGTTTACTTTTTGATACAAATAAAAAAAAAAGGATTCAAATTAATAAGTTGCTATCTGTATATACAATTAGAGTTTCTTAAGACGGGGTTACACATATTATTATTATCCATCATATCATATTTTAATAGATGTTAAGTATAGCTATATAATTTTATATCATTATATGTACATGTAAATATTAGTAAAATAAAAATTATGTTATGCAATAAAATCTATTTTCCAACATGTAGTTTATTTATGTGGCAAAGATAAAAACTCAACCCGAGGTAATAGCCGAATCACGTCCCAATGTTTTTTCATTTTTTACAAGTATTTCTGAAAACAGAGAAAATAATACTTTACAACAGAGGAATTTTGAGTACAAATTTAAAAATGAATTTAAAATAATACGATCTGTATGCGCATGAATATTGGTCAAACATGTGCGTCACACAGTTCTAAATAAATAAATAATAAAAATGACAATTCTTCAATGTAAATATTAAATTGTGAAAGGTAACGGAGAAAGAAAAAAAATTGTTCTGGATAATTTTGATCTTGGAAAGGTTTTGTCGATTAAGAGATGGAAAATTCTTTAGAAAATTCTGTCTTTGCAATCAACAGAAAATTCTCATGCAATCAAAAAGTAAAACCTTAAAAAAAATTACGTACGGGTACCGTACACAAAGCTCACCAAAACCTGGTTTTCCGAATTTCTTAAAAAGGAAATTTTAGAAAGGTAAAACAGCTTAAATATTCAAATAATGAATCATAGTTAAGTCATAAACGAAAATCAAAATTATTTTGTTTGTTTAAAAAAAAAAAAAGAATGTTTCGTTGTTTGGCGTTAGTGTAACTGCGACAATTATTCTTTAGAGAAAAGTTTGGAGTATGTAAATATTCTTTGAACCAAAGATCTAATCCACGATATATTGCCTCGGTTACTACGTAACTACGGATTCTGGTTAAACTCCTTAGGAAAAAAAATTATTGATTCAACAATGTGACTTGCAATATAAATAAAATTAATTATGTTTGGTTTTATTATAAATAATCAAACATTTGTAAAAAAAGTTAAATAAAATCAAAATATTAAAAGGCAAAATAACAAATAAATTATCTGATAATCAAAATAAGAATAAAAAAATCGTTAAATATACAATGTATTTACCTCAAGAACCAACCAATATATTCTTCCAATTTCCTCCTTCTCCCATCAGTTCAGAGTCAACTTTTCAAACGATTAATAATCATAGTGAGAATTTTCAGGTTCTGGTTGATGATGACATTGTTAAAAATCTTTTAAACATGATCCCACCTCCAATTACTGTCCAAGAATTTGTTGAAAGTAATTCTTTTGCTGCCACAGATGGTCATATAAAAAGACCATCCAATAGTTTCATGATTTTTCGTAAAATAGCACATGGACAAAAAAATAAGATACCAGCTTTAACACGTTATAACCAACGAGAATTTTCTAGAATAATCGCTAGGATATGGAACAACCTTAACAATGAAGAATTAAATATCTATAAGGAATTAAGTAAAGAAATTGTTGCAATTCATCGTATAAAATTCCCCGATTATAAATATAAACCAAAACGGAATAAGACAGTGTGGAAGCATTTCGTTTACCCAGTTGAAAAAAAGAATAAAAGAAAAGTTGGCGTAAAAAAATCAAAAAATAATATTACAACTAATTATCCGCATACCCCTCCTGAACTTGAAAGCACAAATATAAGCGATCAATATTTTTGGCTTAATTCGATAGAATAATTTAATAATTAGAAGATTCCCCCGAGTTACACTTTTTGCTTTTGTTTATATATTCTTTTTTTTTTCAAATATATTTTTTAAATACTTTTGTACATTTTTCTTTGTTAAATAAATTGGTATTTATTATTTTTATTGAAATTTTAAATAGATGTATTTTACAATAACAATAATCTTTTTAAATATTGAAATAAACTTTCACATTTTAACAATACAAGTGAAGAGATACATAATTTCTTTTATAAAAAAAAAGGAAATATATTAATTATACAAACAAAAAAGCTTAAATTAATAATTTTAATTTCTAATTTTTTATTACCGTTAAGTTTCATATCAGGTTATCTGATAAAATTTTTTTTCGAAAATCCGGATTGCATAACGGATAAATCCGTTAATTTCACGGTTAATTTAATGGGTTTTATATAGGAAAATAATTTTTTTGTTTTTAACAAAAAGTTTCTAAGTAAATTCAATTTAAATCTAATCAAACCTTAAAAAAATTATATTGTTTTTTTGAAAAACATTTTACCCCCACCCCATTTACCCACTGATAAAAGAAGTGACCTTCTTGGTAACCTGATATCAATAAATCCTACCAATGTTCACTTCAGGTTACCATTCCTGCAGTAGCCTACATAGATAATACTATCTGGACTGCTAATAGTTACGATCAGATGAATAGTATTCTTAATATTGCTCAATCCTTCTAAGACTTAAATTCAATGAAAGTCAATTTTGACAAATCTTTCATCATAATGAATAATGATAGTAATGTACCTATTATATTTTGTAATAATTCTGACAATTCAATATTTACATGTCCGGTTATTCCTAACTGTGAATCAATGCATTATCTTGAAGTCTGGATCTCAGCTAAGTATAATAAAACTTTCATTAAACAACAACTCTCAAGTGAAATATCCTCATTCATCGATAAAATCAAATTGAAACCGCTAACAGACAAACAATTACGCTATCTAAATAATATGGTTTTGATCTCTAGATTAGAATATAGATCAAAATTGATTGTCTTATCAAAAAATGAATGTGAAATTTTATTTAGATTTATACACATGATCTTAAAGAAAAAACTCAGACTTAGAAGAGACTTTCCTAACGCTGTTCTTTATAATAAACTTGCTTACAGTTTTAATGACCTCTCAGCTAATGCTATGCAAACTAAAACTCAACAATTTATTAATATTATTAACTCCTCTTCAGACACTTCGATTCTGAAAAAGACAGTCATGATTAGAGTTAAACAAATTCAACTACAATACTGATTATTCGACAACCCTATTGTATGTTGACTGTCATTCGCTCAACATACTCATCATGAAAACTTTTTATCAAACATGTTGACAGAATATTTCCACTCTAACTTTAGTTTTCATAATAGTACATATATGAATCATATCTTCAAAATTGAAGGAGGAGAGCTCTCACTTCAAAATATTGTTCCTTGGAACTCTTACACTATTAAATCTTTAATCAACACTCAGGTTCTATTCTTGTCACAAATTATAGCCTCAGAAAATTTCTTATTCGATTATCATGACAATATTTTGAAAACTTTTAATGCTGAGCAAAGGGTAGTTTCATACCGCTTAGTTCAAAACATTAAAAAACACTGTTCTAACTAATCCAGTCAATTTGATACGCCTTAAACCAGAGTTTTGTACTGATTTGACCTATCTAGAAGGATATGACTGTACTAAATTAACTGACTTTTCGAAATATATAGGATGGGCTACAATGTGGATTCCTAATGAATATAATATTTACAATCTTCCTATTTCCAATGCACCTATATTTGGAAAGTTTTATAAAATCAAAACATTAGTTCCCCATATTTATTCCAATACTTCAATATCACAAATAGCACTTTTGGTCCTCGCTCTCTGTCTAAATACACTTCAGTATTAGTTCTTTGTACAGGTTGTACTTTCAACCAGAACAAACAATATTTTAACATTAAATTAAAATATAAAACTCTCCTGTACACAGCTTTTGTGGACCTGCTACTCCTGTGTCCTATTACAATCTCATTATTAATTCATAATGAAGATAGACTTCATGTTTCAAAAAGATCAATTTGGCCTCTCATGGACTAGGCTATAGTCCATTTCAAAAGTCTCAATAATACCAATGTTCCTTACATTTATAATGATGCAGTAAGGCAAAAATGGGGTTTCTAGAACAGAATTTAAAATAGTACTCAGAAAAGATTCCTGACTGCCCACGAATCTATTTTAGCTATACGAAATCCATTATCGAATTTAAATCTCTAGTGTATTTTGACTCAATTCTAGATGATGTTATCGAACTTGACTAGGAATTAGCCTGTCTGATATCAAGAACTACACTGTTTGATTTAGCCATTCTAGCCTGATTTTAATCCCAAATAATATATCAAAAAATTTTTACTATTCTATTTGCCTCTGGAGGGCCTACCGAAAATCAAGGAATAAAGTAACGCGATTTGAGCTGGGCCTGACATTGCAAACCCAAATTTAATAATAACTTTTATGCTATTCTGCTTGCCTCTAGAGGGGCCATCGAAAATCAAGGAACAAAATGACGCAATTTGAGCTGAGCCTGATCATGCAAGCCTAAAATGCATATCATATTTCATGATATCATAGAATTAATTCTAAAGCTGATTCATATTCATCTAACAAGATCATAATTTTGGTACCCACATGAATTGGGTACCAAAATTCTGTATGTATACAATAAAGTTAAAAAGCTATAGATTACATTCCAGTATACCACTAATTTCACAATATATAAGAATCAATTCTAGAGCCATTCCTTTCTCATAAACGCTAAGTCAAAAAAAAATAGTAATGGGTACCAAAATTCTGAACAGGATACCAAAATTTAAATAGTCTATTTACTATTCATTAGGGCTTTAGAGCGCAGTCTATTATAGTATTGGGAGACA